TGAAATATGAATGACAAAAAATAAAATATTTTTAAATTAATATTAAATAATTGAATAGAATTGTTGAATTGTCCTGTGGCCAGTTGTCTCATGGCAAGTTGGCCATGGTGAGCTGTCCCCTGGCCAGTTGGTCTAGACCAATTGGCCATGGCAAGTTGTCCCATTCTGCTTAATAGCGTATTCCTGCCACCCCCAATAGATCATATGTATTCAGAAAATTAGATATATTTTCCAAAATGCATCTCTAGCTTTTGTATTATGATCATTCACAGTGGCTTAATAAGTAACTGTAATCAATCTATTCCTATGTTATGTTTCATCAACGATGAAAACATGGGAATTAATGAAGTATTCAAGTAGGATGAGAGTTCTGCATCTAAAAGAGGAAAAAGCCTAAGTTAGCAGTGTCAAGGATGGCTCCTGGGAAGAAAATAGAATGGAAGAAAAGGATAGACAGGAAAAAAGCAAGAACAAAAATAGAGCAACTGCACAAAGAAAAAGAACAGGTAGTCCTCAGTCTACAACTCAGTAGTGGGTTGGCCCCGGTTCAAACCGGTTTGCAAGAACCTATAGTAAAACTGGCGGGAGGCCCCACTCACTGCCCAGATGTCATAATCAGCAATCTGCGCAACTTCACCGTTCACTTACTACCGTTCGTTTACTACCGTTGTGAACTGGTAGTAAAGGTAAGTAGAACCCACCCCTGCTACAACTCAGTGGTGGGTTGCTACCAGTTTGCCCCAGATCAGGCGAACCGGTAGCGGCAGCAGCGGGAGGCTCCGCCCACCCGCCGGGACGCTTTTGCGCGTGTCCACAAGCAAACCAGTAGCAACAGGTTTTGAAACCCACCCCTGCTACAACTGTTTATTTAACAATGGTTCAAAGTTACCAAGGGTTTGAAAAAATGTGACTTATGATCTGTTCTTGAAATTATCACTGTCAGGCTATCCCCACAGTCATGTGATCACAAATGGAAAACTTGGCCTCTGGCTTGCATTTATGACAGTTGTGGCAACTTGCAATCAGATGATGACAATTCCAGCCAACTTCAAATAAGCAAAGCCAATTGGGGAAGCCAGATTCAACTATGTGGTTCATTGCATGAATCATTTAAGGACCACAATAGAAATATACTGGGTAGGTCTAGATGTTCTCCAAAGTAGCTTCCAAACTTTGATTTACCTAGAGGTGAAGTTGTGCTGATAGTATTGTTGTGACCCGCTGGCGGCCAACAGAACTGGCAGCAGAGTCGGACAGTGAGGAGGTTGGGGAGGAATATGCGCCAGTCCTGGGGGCTGAGGAAAGCTCGGACGAGGGCTCTGCGTCAGAGGCAGAGAGGGAGCTAGACAGCAGTGAGGCAGAGGAACAGCTGGAGCCTGTTCCCAGTGTGTGCATGCACAGAGCTGCCAGAAGACGAGAACAACTCAGAAAGCAGGGTTGACTTGGGAGTAAAGCCACACCTTGGGGGTAATTGGCCCCTCCCATAGGAAACAAAAGAGGAGCAAATGGGGAGTGGGCTTTTGCAGGAAACAATTTGTTCGTTACGTGACTCTGAGCCAAGTTTTTCCTTGTACTGCGTTTGGAAATTAGTTACCTGGCAGCCTTCCAAATGAGATAAGGTCTGTGTTTATAAATATTCCTTTGAAAAACTGTTTGGACAGGCCTTGATGAATGAATGAAAGGAATTCACAGTCGTGTAAATAAAAGAGGTTTTGCTGGGACTAAGACTCTGCATCCTGCTTTTTAAGGGAGCCTAGGTCAGAACAAGTATCTTTCTTTTGTCAGATAGTCAAGACCCGGATTTTTATTCTACATTTGGGACTTAACATTTAGAGTCTGATCATGATTTGTGTTTCTTAAACATCTCACTGTTTATTTCTCTTGCTTTACATCCATGTCTTTCACTTGCTTTTATTTTACCCGGTTCTTAATATACTGTAATCAGCTATGAGATATTCTGTATGTTTACGAGGCTTACAAATAGTATATATATACATAAATAGAATGCTTAATTGTACCTAGAGATGAAGCCAAATGGCCTTTTGAAATTCTCCACCAAATTTGTGGGCAAAGAAATTGGGTGGATGATTTTCCCTGAAGTCCCCCAGGGAGAAAGTGACATTTTCCAACCATTTCTCAAGAGCTGGGTTACCTCTTGCAATGATAATAGCCCTGCTCCCAAAGAAGCCTCATGGGAGATGCTTCCAGAGGATGCCTTTTAAAGGACAAGTGAAGTGCAACACACCAGAGATGCTGCAGACCCTGCAGAGATTACTTGCGCTGAAGGACGGGAACTTTAGCCAACTTGTAACACAATAAGAACGTGTTAATTCATCCATGAACATTTATACAAAAATCATTCCACTTTTCTAAAGCCCAATTTTTTAATCAAATTGAATACAGGTAGTCTTCAACTTACCACAGTTCCTTTAGAGACCATTTGAAGTTACAACATCACTGGAAAAAAATGTTTTTCATACTAAACACATGTAGCATCCCCATGGTCATGTGATCAAAATTTTGACGCTTGGCAACTGGTTCATATTTATGGCAATTGCAGCAAGGGGTTCTCTGCCCAGTTGGTGAGTGGGTCTGGCCATGGTGGGCGTGGCCTAGTCGGACTCCTGCACCATGGTGGGAGGGGCGTTTTTGCCTTCCCTGGGCTCCAGAGGCTTTTCTTGAGCCTCCAGGAAGGCGAAAATGGCCTCCCCAGGCTCCGAAGGCCCTCTGGAGGCTGGAAATGGGCCTATTTCTGGCCTTCCCAAACTTCCGGTAGGCCCATTTTTCAGCCTCCCCAAAGCTCCGTGCACTCCCTGCATTTACCTGCATCCAAAACGGGCCACATGGGGACTCCTGGGAGGGATGGGGTGGTGTGGGCAGGGCCAGCCAGGAGTGAGATTTGGGGTTTCTCCGAACTGCACAGAATCTTAGCTAGAGGTTCTCCGAAACCCCCGCGAACTTCCAGCAGCCCACCCCTGAATTGCAGTGTCCTGGGGGTCATGTGATCACCTTTTGTGACCTTCTTACAAGCAAAGTCAACGGGGAAGCCAGATTCACTTAACAACCAAATTTCTAATTTAACAATGGTGATGCATTTAACATTTGTGGCAGGCAAGGTCGCAAAATGAGGCAAAATTCACTTAACAACTGTCTCAGTTAGCAACATAAATTTTGGGCTCAATTGTGGTCATAAGTTGAGGACTACCTGTAATACAGAGCTTCTCTGTCTGTCACTAGTTGTGCTTCTCATTAGATTCAATTCGAAAAAATAGTTTGAGTGGGAGGAAAAAATTACTTATCCTGTATGCTCTGTCCTGATTATTGAGCCATTATTCCACCATGTAATTTCCTTATACCAGGGGTGTCAAACTCAAGGCCCAGGGGCCGGATCTGGCCCACTGGGTGCTTAGATCTGGCCCATGGGGCTGCCCTGGAAACAGCAAAGGACTGGCCCAGGGTGCCTCTGCCAGCAAAAAAGGAGCTTGAGAAGTCCACAGGCGGCCCTCCTGAGCTCCATTTTCACTGGCAGAGGGTTGCAGGAGGCCATCACAGCCGAAAACAGAGTTCGGGAGGCCATTTTCGCTAGCAGAGCGCTCAGTCCACCACAGGTGCCCCTGACATGAGTGACATTTAGCTAGCCACACCCCCTGGCCACATCCCCCCCGCGATCAAACACAATCTTAATGCAGCCCTCAATGAAATCAAGTTTGACACCCCTGCCTTACACCATCATTTTAGGTTTGCTTTTAATTGAAAAGTTAATATCACTTCTTTGGCTTTTACATATTTGTGCAAGTAGGATTATTATTGTTGTGCTTCTTATTAGTTTTGTTTCAAATGAGTCTAAAGTTAGAAACACAGTGCCTCTAGTCTGGAAACAGAAAGTTCTAGCCTTTTAGGTATTTAACCCAACGTATTGTAATAAAAGTGATAAAAATTGCAGGTTATGTGAAGATTGCCTCTGGTTACAATGATAAATGCTAGTTTTGGATGCCCTATAAAAAAAAGACTTCAGAAGTTAAATGTACTTTCAAGCAAATACGTCTTGCTGTCTGGTTTTCTTTTAACCATTATGACATAGATCAGTTTTTCTCTGAATGTCTCTAAACCCTGCTTCTTATATTTCTTGTTGTATACATTATTATTATTTTTTTTAAAAAAATGTCCTTCAAGGTTGCTTCTCAATAAAAGATCTGAAATTCATTCTCCAATATGTGTGTGTGTGTGTGTGAAATCTAATCCAAAGAGAATATTTCTTACTATCATTAAAGTACATTAATAATAAAGCTAAAGAAACTCTGCCATTCTAGTAATTAGTTTGGCAAAATTTATTAGAAGTGTCACTAGATGTTCATTTCACAGCTTTCATCCCCAGAAGAGGCAACATTGCCAGTGCTAATAATTGAAATTTACTGAAATGCAAGGTAAAGTAATGATGCAGAAAACTTTGTTACTGTTAGCAAGCAAGAAAGCCAGGTAGACAATTTGATGGGTGATATCCATGGTATTTGGGAGTGACAGTGAGCATTGAAGCAATCGCTATCAGGGTAGATATGATGCGAGACTGTAAATTGGTCATTGCCAGGAAAAGCAATCAGGCTGATGACTGGTTTTCTTGTAGCTTGGCTAAGGAAATACTAGAAAAATACTAAGAAAGCAGTATTTCAGTATTTTAGGGGCTGCCACAAAGAAGATGGGGGCAACTTATTTTCCAAACCACCAGGAAGCAAGACAAGAAACAATGGATGGAAACTAATCAAGGAGAAAAGCAAACTGGAATGAAGGAGAAATTTCCTAACAGTGAGGACAATTAACCAGTGGAACAACTTGCGTCCAGAAGCTTCATCCCCGGAGGTTTTTAAGAAGAGACTGGACATCCACTTGTCTCACATTGTATAGGGTCTCCTGCTTGAGCAGGGGATAGGACTGGAAGACCTCCAAGATCCCCTCCAGCTCTGTTCTGATTGATTGAAAAATGAAGATGACAAAGGGATTTGTACCTCCAACCTGAATGCTCTGCTCTTCAATGCCAGTTCAGTTGTTTGTAAAATAACTATCATCCACTCCTTCGGTAGCCTTAAGGAACAGATTAGACTTCTGTGATAACCGTCAACCTCTCTAAGATTGTATCTGGATCCATAAAGACAACAGGATATTCATTAGATTTGCTTTTCTGTCTAAATGTAGCTGGTGAACTGAAGGTAAAGAACCTTCAGTTTGGTAATTACAGACAGATTGTATGCTGATCAGTGTTTGTAGTAATGGAGTACCAGTTAAAATGATCCCATCCAGGTCAGTGGTAAAATCCAATTTTTTTACTACCAGTTCTGTGGACGTGGCTTGGTGGGTGTGGCAGGGGAAGGATATTGCAAAATCTCCATTCCCACCCCACTCTGGGGCCACCCAGAGGTGGTATTTGCCGGTTGTCTGAACTGCTCAAAATTTCCGCTACCGGTTCTCCAGAACCTGTCAGAGCCTGCTGGATTTCACCGCTGGTTTACAGAGTCAGCATATTGCTCCCAACAATCTGGGTCCTCATTTTACCGACCTCAGAAGGATGGAAGGCTGAGTCATCCTTGAGCCGGTGAGAATCGAACTGCTGAACTGCTGGCAGCCGGCAGAAGTAGCCTGCAGTACTGCATTCTAACCACTGCACCACATGGCTCTATGACTATTTAAAAGGCTGCCTTTCCTGTTAACTTGTGCACAAGAGGACCTTTATCCAAACTTTTCAATTTCTCATATGCCTGTCCTTTTGGATGCCTTCTTTGACATTCCTAGGCAGAAAAGCATGCCCTCTTGAGAGCTGCGTTTATCTTCACATGCTCAGTGTTTAGAAAAATCTATAAAACTACATATTTTTTGTTAGGCATCATTAGATCAACATTTTTCAAAATGGAGAGCCATGAACTCTACAGTGTTACTTGAGAATGAAATATGGGGCCAGGAGACAGAATGCCTTCTATGCCAGTGCTCTCCAGAACAACTTTCATAGCTGTCTTGACTATTTAAAGAATTTATAAAGCTGTTTTCACATCAGTGACCATGGGTGGCATATAAACATTAAAATCCCTGTGACACTATGCAACACATGATGACCTAGATAAAACAAAACAATACCCGAAAACAAAAATCCACATCATCAAAAGAGTAGAGTAGAGTAGAGTAGAGTAGAGTAGAGTAGAGTAGAGTAGAATAGAATAGAATAGAATAGAATAGAATAGAATAGAATAGAATAGAATAGAATAGAATAGAATAGAATAGAATAGAATAGAATTCTTTATTGGCCAAGTGTGATTGGACACACAAGGAATTTGTCTTGGTGCATATGCTCTCAGAGTACATAAAAGAAAAGATACATTCGTCAAGAATCATAAGGTACAACACTTAATGATAGTCATAGGGAAACAGTCAATATAAATCTTAAGGATATCAGCAACAAGGTTACAGTTATACAGTCATAAGTGGGAGGAGATGGTGGGAGGAGATGGTTGATAGGAATGATGAGAAGATTGATAGTAATGCAGACTTAGTAACTAGTTTGACAGTGTTGAAGGAATTATTTGTTTAGCAGAGTGATGGCGTTCGGGAAAAAAACTGTTCTTGTGTCTAGTTGTTCTGGTGTGCAGTGTGCTATAGCATCATTTTGAGGGTAGGAGTTGAAACAGTTTATGTCCAGGATGTGAGGGGTCTGTAAATATTTTCACAGCCCTCATCAATAGAGTTCATCTAATCTCCACAACCAAATGAAGGGAAACAGCCAGATCTTCAGAGTCTTATAAAAGTCATAGGTTTGAGACACAGTTGTGCTGAATATAATGCAAGACAATGTTTCGAGAGTCGAGAAGGGCTGACTCAGTTTTCCCTTTCCCTTTTCTCATTGTGTCTGATTTTCAAAGGAAAGTCTAATCATACTTCAAACGCCCAGGGCTTCCGTGCAACGCTTTGACCAATTGACCTGATATTCTCTCTGCAGATATACCTCGCTATAAAAAGTATCTATTTTACACGGCCTAACGGTCCATAGATAACCCAAGGCTTTTCCTGACTTCTCATATTGTTTTCAAATTTTAAGTGTACGGACAGCTTTTCAAATACAAGAGGTCTTCAGACCAAGATTTAAAAAAAAAAAAAGATTTTTATCTTGGAGCTATTGAAAGGAATCCATCTTGTAAAATCTTCCTCTTGTGTGTAATATAATAATTTTGCAATATAAGTATTTCTATCAGTCCTGAATTGAAAGGAGAGTAATATATATCTTTATACCTAGCTGGGTTTGGGATAACTTGGGACATAAGTAATGCCAAAATAAGAACCAAAGAATATCAAGGAGTTATCTACCTGTTTAAAAAGACAATATATAGATGAGCCTTTATAATCTTGGGTGATAGCCATGAGATATATTAATTTGTTGTGTTTGCTCTTATACATAGAATGCTACATACAAAGAAGATACAGGTAGCCCTTGACTTACAATCATTTGTTTAGCTACCATTCAAAGTTACATAAGAAGTGACTTAAGGTCCTCATACTTAATAACTGCCTTATCATCCCTGTAAGTGATGTGATTGACAATTTGGGGGCTTAGCAATTGGCATGTATTTCGGATGGTTGCAGAATACTAGGGACGCATGATTGCCATTTTCTACCTTCCCAAGCTGGCTTCTAACCAGCAAGGTCAAAGGGGAAACAAATTGTGATCATGTGATGATGCCTTGCTTAGTGACCGTGGGAAAAGGTTGCAAAATAAGGTGATGTCACATGATGTCTCACTTACTTACCACATCATTTAATGATGAATTTTCTGGTCCCAATTGTGGCTGTAAATTGAGGACTAACTGTAGGGTAACATACCAGATGATTGATTGATTTGATTTGATTTCTATAGTTGTCCATCTCAGCAAATGAATTTGGGTGGTTCACAATTCAATATCCCACTCCCACCTGTCTAACAGCCCTCCTGAAAGGCCTCCTTCATGTAGAACCAAAAGAAATAATTGCACAGACTCCAAATTATTTATCAATTATATATTATCAAGATTCTGAACATTAAACACTGCCATTATTGTTAATGGATTTCAGCTTTCTGTGTATGCCATCACAAAGTTGTACCTCTCAGAGAGGACTGCTGTTCCCGACTTGATATTTCCTTATGTGTTTGAACTGGAAGTCCAAGAATTTTCAAACTACATGGGTATTCTGTGAGTTATAATCCCAAAGGCACCCAGTTGGAAAAGATTGAAATAGACTGTATTGTCTGTTCTGCATGGAAGAGGAAGAAAAATCCATAAGTCTGCAAAACTCTCCCTAAACTCCAAGGGAATATGTACATAAAGAAACATTCCTGGTGAAAATATTTATTTTGGGGTAGGATTCTAGAAGAAATAATAATAGTCTTCAGTGGAAAGGTGTGATATTTAATTTGTTCTGGTTGTGACTGCATCCTCTTTCTTAAGATGGATCACAGGTTGGGGTTGCTGTTAAATCTTGAGAAGAGTATCTATTTCTATGAAAGCATTTCTGCCAATGCAAAATGATATACGGTTTTATCTACACCTACAAATGATATTGTATGTTCTGCTAGAAACTAGATAGATCAAGCACCTACATTGTAAAGGGGATGGCCTCAGATCACTCATAAATTGCATCAGGAGAGGAAAAAAAAACCACAGATATTTATTGCAGTAACATTTTGACATGTAAAATTTCCTTCAAATCAAATTAGAGTCTTAGTGACTAAATGGACATGTCCAAGTAGTTTCTTTGTCAATAAGACAGATGTATTTTGCTACTGTTTGCTTCCAGATATTTTTCTTCATCTTGTCAGAATAACACAGTTAGAAGGGACCTTAGAGGTATTCTAGCCCAAACCCCTGCTCAAGCAGGAGAGCCTATACCATTTCAGACAAATGGTTGTCCAATTGTCAGGTTTCGATGCTATCTCAAAATAAATGAATTTTCAAACTGCTGATCTTTGAGGAAATTTTCTCTTTATTGAGCATAGTGATCTGTCCCTGGCTCTTTCACGTTCAGCACTGACCTTTGGCCCCCCCAAGCCCTCCCTTTCCGATCCCCAATTCTCTGCGTCTCATTGGCTATCTTCCAAGCCACTCTCCTCATCCCATCTCCGTCAAATCACAGGAATGTCCCCCCTCCTCCCATCTCCGAGGAAACAGAATCTTCAAAGGAATTAAGTAGGCAAAAGTTCAAGCTTCTCCCCTCCTTTCATATGCCAGCGCTGGAATGCTGACACCAATCTCTTCTTCAAAACATCCAGTGTTGGAGCACTCACAATTTCTGGAGGCAACTCATTCCACTGATTAATGTTCTCACTGTTAGGAAATTTCTCCTTAGTTCTAAGTTGCTTCTCTCCTTAGAGAGAGAATTAGTTTCCATCCATTGCTTCTTGTCCAGGCATCAAGTGCTTTGGAGAATAGGTTCACCCCAGAGGTGGGTTTCAGCAGGTTTTGACCAGTTCTGGAGAACCGGTAGCAGAAATTTTGAGTAGTTCAGAGAACCGGTAGTAAAAATTCTGACTGACCCTGCCCTCATCTATTCTCTGCCTCCCGAGTCCCAGCTGATTGAGAGGAAATGGGGATTTTGCAGTAACCTTCCCCTGGATTGGGGTGGGAATGGAGATTTTACAGTATCCTTCCCCTGCCACGTCCACCAAGCCATGCCATGCCCACAAGCCACACCCACAGAACCGGTAGTAAATTTTTTTGAAACCCACTACTGGTTTACCCCCTTTCTTCATGGCAGCCCCTTAGGTATTGGACCACTGCTGTTTTATCACTCATAGTCCTTATTTTCATTAAACTAGACATACCCAATTCCTACAACCGTTCTTCATATGTTTTAGCCTCCTGTCCATTAATCCTCTTTGTCGTTCTCTTCTACTCTCTTTCTAGAGTTTCAATCTAGTTTACAGAAACTCTTATCTATGGGACTACTAATACATCAATTAATAGTATGTTAAGATCTTACCATTAATCTCTCATAGAATTTCACTTGAGTGATATTTAAGCATTTGTAAGGAGGAGAAACCTAGTTTGATGTAGTGGTTAAAGAACCAGGCTAGAAACAAGGAAACTGCGAGTTCTGGTATCCATTTAGACTGGGTGACCATGAGCTAGACATTCTCTCTTAGCTCTAGGAAAGACAAAGTGGCAAACCACTTCTCAAATTTTACCAAGAAAACTGTAAGTACTTCTCCAGGAGGTCACCAGGAATCAACTCTGAAGAGGAAGGAAGGAAGGAAGGAAGGAAGGAAGGAAGGAAGGAAGGAAGGAAGGAAGGAAGGACAGAATAATTTGTCCGTGTTTTTTCCCATTTGGCCTGAAATCAAATCTCATTTTAAGTTAAATAAGTACTATTTAAGTATAAACATTATTTATTGGACAATATGATTTATGTAATTAAATATGCATCTTCTGTTTTTATAATCCATTACAATTGGATATACACCACCTAATGATATTGAAAACCTAGCATTATTTTAATTGTCTATTGCATTCCCCCATTAATCATTAATTATTCATCTCAAACCTGCATTGTTATATAAAATGCAAAGTCACATAATATTTATATGAGGTGAAGAACTAATACGTAAACATTTATATTAATTACACTAATAATTGATAAAATAAAGATCTGCATTTCTTTTGTAAGTCTATTAAAAGTGATCATTCCCTTACATGAGCAATTTTAAATTGAACTGGCTTCTAAATATTAAGACTGAAATTATTTATGGATAGTAGCTGATAAAAAATAAAAATAAAGGAAAGGGAGAAATAATTGGGAGATTATTGCCAATGAGGAAAAAGAAAAATAACCCTGGCATATATTTAGCCAATTTGATATATTCATATTCATAGTTAGACTCAGTTTTATAGTCAGTATCTGTAACTAAACACCTTTTTAAAAAGAGAAAAAAATCTTAACTAAAACATCTCATCGGTTATTCTGTGCAATATTAATGTACTATGTTAATTTTTCTGTTTCCATTTGACCTTCATTATAGATCCCAGCCCGAGCCGACCAACAAAGTTGATTTTTAAAAGTAAAAGATGATTGTTTGTACCTCCTAATGAAGCCAAAACTTTCTCATAGCTTTATAAATATATTTATCAATTTATATATTTATAAAGGAAAGATCCAACCTAGAAGTAAGGAGAAATTTTCTGAGAGTGGGAACAATCAATCAATCAACAACCAATCAACAATTAATCCTGGAGTTGAGGCTGCTGAAAGTTTTCAGTCATAGGCTGGACAACCATTTGACCAGGATGATATAGGTTCTCCTGTTTTATTCTTAGGGTTGGAATAGAAGACCTCTAAGATCTCTTCCAACCCTAGGATTCTATGTCTTATTTACTTCATTTCATGGAAGAGCAAAGCATTTTGTCATGGTAACTTTTGAAGATGGGATACACATACCCATTCAATACAGTTGTGTTGCCTGGTCATGCTTCTCTTCATTAAATAAACGTATTTCTTAAATTGAACACTATTTCATTAAATTGTAAAGAGATGTGTAGCTGGATCACTTTTAGCAAACCTCATAGCAATTAATGATTCAGCGTGTGGTCAAAAGGGTAATTTCGTACTAGAATAAGGATGTTTAATGAATGCAGCCACATTTTTTTCCCGTCTAAGGACGTGCAAAGGCCAGTCTTAGTGTCCTGCTTCACGTTTCAGTGGCACACGCAAAAAATTTCTCAGGAGATTATCGGTTGTTCTTTGAGGTTGAAGGATTAACAATGAAGCAAAGAAATATAACCAAAACAAAGCCTTACTTTCAAAGTTAGTTTTGAAATAGCAGCATGGAAAAGAGTCATCCAAAGTCAATCCAGGTTTCGAAGAGGCAGAGTAAGGTTTTCAGCCAGTTCAAGGGTCAGAGGTTCTAGAGTAGACATACACAATTTTTTTTTGTCAAGCATGTATTTTATGACAGATACAAGTGTAAACATAATTATAAATACATGAAAAGGATATGAATAAAAGAAAACATTAGGACAGGGACAGTAGGTGCACTGGTGCACTTAAGCAAGCCCCTTAAAGACCTCTTAGGAATGGGGTGAGGTCTACAGTAGACAGTCTAAGGTTAAAGTTTTGGGGGTTTGGGGAAGAAACCACAGAGTCAGGTAGTACATTCCAGGCGTTGACAACTCTGTTACTGAAGTTGTATTTTCTGCAGTCTAGTTTGGATCGGTTTACCGTGAGTTTGTATCTATTGTGTGCTCTTGTATTGTTTTGGTCAATATTTTTTTTAATTATTTTTTTAAAAAAATTAAATTAAATTAAATTTTTTCATTAAAATATTTTAAAATTGTTTTTGTCAGCTGTCTCCAGTAAAGGCAGCACAGTCAGAATTATTTCTTACACTTTATAATTCTAATATATAATCAGAAGGTCTACTTCTTTGTTTAGTGAAGAGCCTCATAGACCTTTGCTGTTCTGGTTTCCTCTCTACTTTCTGGTATGCGGGCTGAGAAGTCTTATGTCATCCTCCTCTGACTTTTCCCATTGCTCAAATGATGCCTGTGTTTGATCAACCTCACGTGACATCTGACTTTGTCCTCCTAAGGTTGGCATTCTCTAGTTAGAACAGCTTCTTCTAACACCAGATTCCATCTCAGAAGTCCTGAGCCTGGTCATTACACTTACAATGGAAGCATCTGGAGATGCTAAATTGCCTAGAGAATTTCCACAACGCCTATTTCAATTCATCATCAGATGAGGTGGTGCAAAGGGTTCAGATTTTGCAGTCAAAGGAAGCTTCCAGTGAAACCCATTGAAGTTGCTTTGGGACTTAAAAAGGGCATGGTGGATAATGGTTCAGACTTATTTGAGTATAGGGAAATATGCTAATACACTGCCATACATCAAGAATATCTCAGAAATCACCAACAGACTACTATAACCACAGGGAAACAGCTTTGCACACAAGCCAACTAAAGCCCTTCAAAACATTCTAAGCAAACCAAAAGACCCAGCAACCCCAGAAGAAAAAACAGGAGTCATCTAAGACATACAACGTAAGAACTGCAACAACCACTACGTAGGACAAACAGGCAGAAGACTGGCAGAACGCATCCATGAACACCAACTGGCAATCAAAAGACATGACAAAAATTTAATTTCACAATGTATACACTGATTTAACCCTAGTTTCAATTGGAAAAATGTAACTGTCAGCCTCGGCACGGCTGGCACTGCCACAGCCCACCGAGCTAACCTTGATCCTACTGCCT